TTGAGAACATTTGTAACAAGTTGCAATAGTGGTTTCATGACCGACGTGTGGCAACACAGAGTTGCACCAGTGTGCTGGTCCCAGCTCAAGAGGAGAAACTCTTCAAGGCTGCAGATGTTGCGAGAAATTTGAATGTGGAAGCACTTGATGAGTTTTGCTTCTCCGTGCAATGTGCACGTAATACGGCATACATGGTTGATTTGACTGATAACACATGCATTTGTACAATATTTCAGTTGGAGAGTTTTCCATGTGAGCATGCAGTCGCGGTGGCCATGTATCGAGGCTTTGCAGCGAAAACATTATGCTCTTTGTACAACACGGCTGAGTCATGGAGAGCGGCATATGCTGAAACTATATTTCCTCTGCCGAATGAAACCGAGTGGGAAGTTCCTGACCATATTCTCCCCTTCAATAGTTTGTTGCCACCAGCAATTGAACCGTGTGGTCCTAGACATCCAAGTATATCTAGAATACCATCTACCAGAGAGTTTCCTCGATCGCGTAGGTGCGGCAGGTGCAGAGCCATAAGGCATACTCGCCAATTTTGTTTTAGTCAAATTCCCCTAAATGATAATTAGACTGATATGTTCAATGTATAATATTTACATTTAGTTTTACACTGTTCAATGTTTATTCGAGATCACAAATAATTACGAAGAACAGTTACAAATAATTAATTACGAAAAAGTTTTACAAAGATTAATTACAAAAAAATATTTACAAATATTAATTACAAAAAGGTTTTACAAAGATTAATTACAAAAAAATATTTACAAATAATCTATGGATCACAATTAAATTCAAATAAGTCGCACGCTAACTTATTCCGTCAATTCTGTATTCATGATTGGTCCATTAGCCTTATGTGCTATATTCAAGAATTCTATGTACTTGATTGCGAAAATGCCACAGTCGCCTTGCAAATGAACAATATTGTGTTAGTTTGGTTCCAATTTAATTTTAAAAAAAGATTACAAACACTTACGATATAGACTGCCTAACTGTCGTCTTATCTCGCATGATGGCTAATCTGTCCTACACAGTCAAGCTCGCCCATCTAGCCATCATAAGAACGATCACAGTCACCGGCTCTAAGTTCTGCTCGAGCTGCCCCTGTATCAGATATGAATGATCGGGGTCATATATATATATATATCGTCGACTCAGGGAATACGATCTCCAGTGCAATACAGTGATGATTGACGACCACTGGAATGTACATATGCGTACAGCCCTCCCACGACTTTTTCCCAACAGTCGGTGACAACCCGATGACCCACTCAAGCATATATGCAGGCATCACATACTCGTTACCCATAAGCTGGAGCGACTGATACTCAATGGTAACGGCACGGAAGAACTAGGTGTTCAATATTATTCGGCCAGGCTTGTAGAATGATTGTGGATATCTCTCAACTCGATCGCGCAACAAGTACATGGCCATGTCGATGTACTATATAAACGAAAAAGAAATGAATAATTATTTCATTTAACAAATTAAACATAACGTACACAAACAGTAACAATAACACTTCACTTACATCATCGGCGAACCAAGCCCCCTGAGTGGTGATTTCATGGAACCACTTGTATGCGTCCTTTATCGTTCTTCTGGCTATCATACGGGTGGTGCTAAAAAAAAAGAAAATGTTAAACGAAACTTATACGAGTACTAGTACTCTACTAAATCATATAATACTTACCCGGGAAACATTGCTCGCCACTGAGCCTCGAATGTTTTCTATTTGGCATGGTTGACCTCCCAAAACATATTGGGGTACGTCCCGTCGATGAACCTCCTCCTCTTCGTCTCAGTGGTGAAGGGAGGGACGATGTACTGTGACAGCACTCTCGGCCTCTTGCCGACCACCATCTTTGACACGTCAACAGAACGCTTGTTTGCCTCAGTCACGACGGCCGTCCTTTCCTCCTCTGCCTCAACCACTATTGCCTCCTCCACCTCGGGGCTCGCCACCTCCTCCATCTCGAGGCTTGCCCCCTTCTTCGCCCCGGCTACGGTCACCTCCTCCACCTCGAGGCTCGCCACCTCCTCCATCTCGGGGCTTGCCCCCTTCTCCACCCCGGCTACCGTCTCGTACGTCCAAATCTGTAACACATACAATTATTATATACAAATTCAATAGGAAAAATAATTAAACATTGATTATGTTAATCATGTACCTGCATCGTCGGGGGCAATCCATAAGTGTCATACTTGCGCATGGCCCCCTTGGGCTTCGAGTGTGATTGGGTGAAGACATGTACGGTATCCTCAAAACATCTCCGGCCCCACGAATAGTCGTTGGAACGATCAATATCATCAACAATTTCCAAATGGAAGGAGTCAATCGCAGTCTTCTTGTGGTGACACCGAAACACGCTCTCAACGATGTAGACCATGCCTAACTTCAATCTGTCTAACATCTAGTCACACTTCATAATTGCATCGATCAACTGTGGTAGAAGCACACTCCCCTGTCCCTGAAAGTAAGTGTCATGCAGTCTATTTCTTCTCTGAGTCCCGTCACCAGCTGCATCATCGCCCGTAATTGTTAATCCCGTGATCGGGGAAAACTCGAACATCGAAAAACTGGCAAATTTGCCCCCGATTGCGAAGTGGAAGGCATCGCCGTCAACTGGACTCGGCAATCGACATAGAAGTGCATCAATAATTTGATCCAAGTACTGCAGATCTCTCAACGAGTACAAGGGCCACAAGAAGGACTGGCACAGCATATTAGAATGCTGATCATTGAGCAACTCTAATACCGCAGTGAAATTGTCAAAGCTATTATTCCACGTAGCTTTGCTTGGCATCTGTCTCAACTCTGCGTCGATATGATAATCCATCCCTGTAAAAATTCAAAGTGTTAGAACATTGTACGAGATATAATAGAATAAGTATAATAACAGAAAATTAAGCGAACGAAGTTGTAAATACAATACACAACACACAGATTCGTAGTAATTAAAATCATTAATACTGTGAAATGTCTTACCTTATTCTCAATAATGTCAATTTTTTTCCCTAATATCAAAAAAAGATAATAAGTATTAAAATTAACATTAAAATTTAAAGAATTATTTAAAATTACAATTACAAAAATTAATTAAATTCGATGAATGAAAAAAATATTATTTATAAAAAATAATTAATAAAATTAAATATGAAATTTAAATTTAAAATTAAATAATTATTAAAAATTACAATTACAAAAATTAATTAAATTCGATGAACGAAAAGAATATTATTTATCAAAAACTATTAATAAAAATAAATACGAAATTTAAATTTAAAATTTTATTCAAATTACAATGACAAGAATTAATGAAATTCGATTAACGAAAATTATTTATAAAAAACTATTAATAAAAATAAAGATGAAATTTAAAATTAAATAATTATTCAAAATTACAATGACAAATATTAATGAAATTCGATTAAGGAAAAGAATATTATTTATAAAAAACTATTAATAAAACAAAATTTGAAATTTAAAATTAAGATTAAAAGAATTATTAAATATTACAATTATAAAAATTAATTAAATTCGAGAATGAAAAGAATATTATTTATAAAAAACAATTAATAAAATTAAATATGAAATTTAAATTTAAAATTAAATAATTATTAAAAATTACAATTACAAAAATTAATTAAATTCGATAAATGAAAAGAATATTATTTATAAAAAACAATTAATAAAAAATAAATATGAAATTTAGTTTTAAAATTTAAAATTACAAAAATTAATTAAATTCGATGAACGGAAAGAATATTATTTCTCAAAAACAATTAATAAAATTAAATATGAAATTTAAAAATTAAATAATTATTCAAAATTACAATGACAAGAATTAATGAAATTCGATTAACGAAAAGAATATTATTTATAAAAAACTATTAATAAAAATAAAAATAAAAATAAAATTTAAAATTAAATAATTATTCAAAATTACAATGACAATTAATGAAATTCGTTTAACGAAAAGAATATTATTTATAAAAAACTATTAATAAAACTAAATATGAAATTTAAATTTAAAATTAAAAGAATTATTAAATATTACAATTATAAAAATTAATTAAATTCGAGAATGAAAAATTATTATTTATAAAAAATGAGGAAATAAAAATAAATATTAAAATTAAAATTAAAATTAGAAATTTTATTTAAAAATGACAAATAAATAAATTATTATTTATTAAAAACTAATAATTAAAATTATTTAAAATGAAATTCTTAAATATATGTAAGAAAAAAATAAAATAAAACTAAAGGCAGCGAGCCGATCACAACAGTCAACCCGCTTAAGAGTCAATAGGCTAACTAAACAGTCAGCCCAAATAATGGGCCGACTATTAATCAGTCCAAATTAAAAAAATAAATTGTTATTGGGCCGACCATAACAGTCGACCCACTTAACAGTCGGCCCACTTAACAGTCATAAAAAAACAAAACACAGTCATGGGCTGACTGTTAACAGTCGGGTTAACACTTGACTGTTAACAATCGGGATTTTTCCCAAATGTGGGCTGCATTCGCAGCCGACAGTTTTTCTGGCTTTTCTCGTCGAAAAATCTCAATTTTCAACGAGAAAAGCTTGCAAATCTCAAAATCCAACTATTATTCTCCAATTTAGACCCATATTCATATTTTTACACCTACATAACCAATAATACATTCCAAAAACCTCCACAAATTCAACATTCACACACAATATGAAGATCTAAACATTAATCTAGTTAATTAATAACTCGAAATTTACCTTAATAAAAAGAAGGTCGTCGGAGATGAATTGAAAACGTCTCTGACCCACTGAAAATCGACCATAGCTTTTTCTTGATTTTGGTCGATTGTAAGCAAATGAGAGAGTGACCGTATGAGGATATTTTGGAATTTTGACCTTTAAAATTAATTTTCGTTTTTTTTCTTTTTTTTTTTCCCTAAAAATTGATCAAAGGTTAGTTTGGAAATACATATGTTATTGGTTCATTTTCAATGATTTCCTCCTCCTAATTCGCACCCACTGAAGAAAGATTAGAGTTAGACTTTGGATGAATTCTGTGATTCGGACCGTTTTATCTCCAACTGCTACAAGTCTCATTTCCTCCCTCTCCTTCCAATCAAGGTTTTCTACGAGCCTGGAATTCAAAATTTTTTATCAAATGCATGATGTTTTCATCAATTTGTGCAAAATCCAGTTCTTGACCTTTTTAAAATTTCATGAATTTCCAACATTTAATGCTAAATTGCAGGAGAGTATTTTCGACAAGTTGTGCGGATTTCCAGATGGGACGTGACAATTTGAGTCTGATTGACAAAACAAAGCATGCGAAAGTTCGCCTTTGCAATGTGACCGGGTTTTTTCGAGAACTAAACTAGAAATTTGAATACGATCTTATTCCTTCTAGTTACTTATTTTTGTTGTATTAATTTTACTTCCCTTTGGATTAGATACAAAACAGATTTGTTAGAGATTCCTGCCCGAGATCCTTCATTGCACGTTGTGTTTATCCCTGGCAATCCTGGTAATTTGACATTGTAAATTTAGGAAGAGCGTGCTTGCTAAGCTTAAAAGGTTTACTTAAAAAGTTACAATAAAAAAAGAATAAATTTAGTTGTTAAAGTTGAAAATAAGCAGTATCATTTTCTGCTTTAAAGTAAGAAAAGGTAACATATACAAACAAAAGTTACTTAGAAGCAACATTTTTTTCTTAAGCTTAACCAACCTTGCTCAGTGTTCATTATGATACTTACAGTAAGAAATGGTAACATATGCAAACAAAAGTTACTTAAAAGCAACATCCTTTTATTAAGCTTATCCAACATTGCTCAGTGTGTATTGTAAAGTCAGGAGTGAAGTGCAATTTGGATAATTGCGTGACAGGTGTTATTTCATTTTACACTGATTTTCTGGAATCACTGTTTGAGCTGCTGGGAGGAACTGCATCAGTCACAGGCAAGGGAAAGGACTGCATTTTTCAATGGTTTCAGAAATTTTTAATTAAGAGTTTCATAGACATTTGAATTTAATTCAATAAAACTATAGATTGGTGTACTGATTTGTTCCTCTTCCTCTCCTTGGTGATCAGCTATTGGGCACATATCCCACTCAGAAAAGGTGATTCATTTACTCCAACACAAGATTTCTGACTGACTGTCGGGACTCAGGATTCAAAAATCTTGCTACTTCTCAACAAAGTAGCAGTTTCTGAAAGAGGCTGGGATAATACCATTACCATGAAAGTGAAATTATAATGTAGATTTATGTTGATCATGTATGGTTGAGTTATATAATAACTTGTCTCTCTGCGAACTCGTTCAGTGTCCCAAATAACAAAAGTCTAATAGAAAGGTCGTTATAAGAAATTGGTCTCTGAGAAGACTAATGATACGATTGGACTATTAGCACATGAAAATATCATCTTTACGTGATCGGAGTTCTTAAATTTTGCAATGATTTACTTTTGGATTGTTTTAATTTATTCACATTTATGATATATGTCAAAAACATGTTGGTATTTCAAACATCTAACTTTGTGGATCTTTGATTCAACGTATTACTGCATTATGAATATAGGGAAAATTTTCTCAATTCACAGGGTGGATAGGGATTGATCATCCATGAGCAGCATGTCGTGTGTAACTGAAGTGTAATTATCATGGCTGGCAATTGTAGACCTCGTGCAAGTAGCTATGTACTACTGAGATGCATCATTTAAATTTGTTACATGGAGAATTTTAAGGCTGTTTTTGTTGCTGAGCTGGACAGTGAATTTGGAGGCAATATTAGAGAAGAATTAGCTGAAATCAGCGAAAATGCTTTAAGAAGGATAAGATTCCACCTTCCAATCTAAAATAGTAGCAAGTATAAGTCAGTAAAAGATGTTTAGCATGGATAGATTTTGGTGGCTGTTGTGCCATAATATATGCAATTTAGGTGGTACAGAAGTCACATGGCTTTGATGTCTAATAAATAGATAATCAAGTCCAAAACTAGTCTCCAGTGATAATTTTTGAAAGATAAAAAAAAAATTCACGTCTAAATTTGGAGAGAAAATCATGTGGTGGTAGGATCCTTCTACCATGACTGGCAAGTCTTGTGTAACTAAAGTGTAATTATCATGGCTGGCAATTGTAGACCTGATGCAAGTGGCTATAAACAGTGACTTTGAATGCAATACTAGAGAAGAATTAGCAGAAATTAACGACAAATGCTTTAAAAGTATAAGATTCTACCTTCCAACAAAAAATAGTCGCATGTATAAGTCAGGACAAGATGTTTAGCATGGATAGATTTTGGTGGCTGTTGTGCCACAAAAGATTAGAGCATCTCCGATGCAATATGGATTGCTATTTAGGTGGTACAAAAATTACATGGCATTGATGTCTAATAAATAGATACTCGAGTCCAAAATTAGTCTCCAATGCTAATTTTGTTAAAATGAAAAAAAAAAAGAAAAAAGAAACCACATCTAAATTCGGAGAGTATAAATGTACTGAGTCACTTCGTCCTACAGAGCTTTTGAATCTATATGGACCTCTAGACATTCTTTTTTTTTTTTTTTTTTTTTTTTTTCATCGGAGAGTATAAATGTACTGAGTCACTTCGTCCTACAGAGCTTTTGAATCTATATGGACCTCTAGACATTCTTTTTTTTTTTTTTTTTTTCTCTATCAAGTTATCTTGATGAAGTCCCTATCAATTTGTATAGGAGAGATATTTTTTTTTTTAAATTCGTGTATTTTATGTGACACAATTTTTTAAGCTCTCTACATTTGCATTCGAGATGCTCTTAGTACAGGCAAATCTCAATTTGGTGTCTAGAAACATCTTGATTTCAAGGGAGGATGTTAACTTATGGAAAGATATGATTCTCAGTGATACTTTCTCCAAGATTATTTTTCTTAATAATTAATATTGTAATTAGTATGCAATCTTTTCTTTTAGAGCTATTTGTAACCTCTATATAAGGTCTTTTCCTTTGTAATTTAGAGACAAATTATTATATACAATTTATAATTTTTGACACTTGTGAAATGCTCTCTAGGGGGCTGTAAGTTTATACATGGATTATCATGATCACCTCTAATGTAATTTAATCTATTTTCCTTGCATTTGGGATCTTGAAGTAATGACCGATCAATGGCACTGATAACATGCTTATGTGATTTTTCACTTGCTAGGACTGGGAGAATGGTAGGTTGTTCTCATTGCAAGAACAAATTGATCATAAGGTAATTTCTCACAGGATTTAAGGAGGAAATCTTGGTCATCAATCATATTGTTTTGCGTCAAGGGTCCTTTATTCTTCTGAGCAGGTTCTAAACTGAAGAAATTCTAACTCTTGATTCTATTGAATGCCACTTTGGATTGATTTTAAGTTCATACTACTCTTTTCCTCCCTTGACCTAGATGGACATGTGAACCCAAAACCTCTAATGTTTGGACTCTTTGAAATAGTAGGAGTACCTATGTTGGACCCGATGCGTCATGGGTATAAGTATGAGATATGTGTCGGATCCTCCAAATTTCAATCGGACACTTCGCCTTTTTACTTCTTTCTTTTCTTTTTTCTTTTCCTTTTCTTTCCCATTTTCGCTCTTTACAAACTTTGTGTTGCCTCCTAGAGGTTGGAGAAGGGCAACAACGCTAAGTTTTTCCTTCTTTTTTTTTCCTCTCCCTTTTTTTCTCTTTTTCCTTCTTTCCCTCTCTGTATCGGTGGTTTAGAGTTTTGTTTGTATATAATGAAAATGGGTTCCATATAGTGCTACCTAATACTCTACTAAATTCAAATTACAATAAAGTCCCTCATTTTCTATTTTATATAATATTTAGTAGTTAACTTCTCATAATTGAAATTTGGACTCTTTTTAGCAATATCCCCATATCCTTCATTTTAAAACATAAAAAATTCGATACTTAGATACGTACCCGTACCTGATACCTATACCCGAGTCTGAGCATCATAGCCCAAAACCATTGAATTTTTTATATGAAAGAGATAACGAGATTTGTAGCTAGACCTCTATATATGCAGATGTCTAATTCCAATTTTAGAACCATATTTACATCTTAAGGCTCCATTTCAGTTTTAATACATTTTTCTCTTTCTTCTTTTCAACCACACATTATATTACACGTAAATTCGAAAATTTTTCTTCTTTTTTAACCACACATCCTTCGGAAAATCCCTATTCCAAAATACATTTTTTCCTGAAAGCTCATTAAAATGGAGCCCAAACAAGGGATAAATTTCTTTGGTGGTGGCTGAGGAGTGCAACTCTCTTGAATCTTGGGTTTAGTTTGTTGGATAATATTTCTTTTTTCCCCTGACCGCAGCATAATATGAACTTTTTGACCTCAGTTATTATCAACTTCTTTATCTTCTTTCCAGGCAAGCTTCATAGAGCATGAATTTCAGGATGTTGAAGTTCCCATAATACTGGTAAGGTGAAGTTATCTCATCTTGAAATTTGTGGAAGCAAGAGAAATTTCATTTGAAGTTCCACCGACTTGATGATCAATTTCTAATAATTGTTGAATATTGTATAGATTATGCTTTAAAGCTTCTTCTTTGCTGTCGTTTCTCTTTTGGTTGTCGTGGGTATGCTATTCAGAAACTAATTGCATTATCAGCAATTGCATTTATCTGCTAAATATGGAAATTAGCTTAAGAGAGAACTTTGGCTCATAATTTTCAAATCCATATATTCACACCACAACAATACAAATTTAAAAAATATCGACATTTTTTAGCACCAAAAGATGAAAGAGGAATAAAAATAGAAAACTCACATTACTAGAGATAATGCAGAGCAGAGACTTGTTGAAATGCATGCCTCCTAACGGGTGATTGCGGTGCAATCCTACAACCTGTTGAGTCAATAAACTAAAATCAGCTACATGTGCTGAAATCCATTTCATACAGAGGATCTAAATTGCTCCTATATCCCCAAGATCATTTTAACTTTCTCAAAAAATAGTGTTAATAATTCTCTTGAAGTGGAACTGGGATGCCATGCCAGTTGACTTATTATATAAAGTTGTGGGCTGAAAATTGTAAATATATGGCCAACAAGTGACAGTTGCTCTTATGATTGTATCTTACAATTCTCATATACATTCCTCCAAGTGACTTTGCAACAGCTTCTCCTCTTTTTTTTTTTTTTTTTTTTTTTTTTTTTTCCTTTAAGGGGTGAGAGGGGTGCACGTTCCTTGCCAACTTCATGTACTCTATATGTGAAAACAGAAAATGTCTAAACTTCAGAGCAGCCGCCCCTAGTCCCCTACTGTCCTCTCCATAGGGTGGAAGCAAAAGCCTTTTGTTCTTTCTCATGAAATGTAGTTAACTAAGAAAAGAATAATAAATTGAAAAAGTATGAAAAACACATTGTGTTGGATAGCTTCATACCATGTTTCCGTTCACTGCAAATCAGTGTGGCGATTTCTTACTTTTCCCAACACCAAAAGCTATATAGCATCAAAGAACATGTAACGGCATAAATGGCTCCCTTACCTGATTCTTCTTGGTTGGATGAATGGTGAAATAACATTTTTCATCTTTAGCAAAGATAAGTTGTTTCTTGTTTTGTTTAAGATAAAATAATGCTACTAAGTACTACCATCGAGTTCATACTTTTGTCCAACAATTTTCCTAAATTTGTTATCATTTTAACACTTCACTGATCATACTCATAACATCAAAGTCTTTCAAATGGGTTGACATTTAATTTGAATCTGAAGGTTGGCCACTCCATTGGTGCATATATATCTCTTGAAATATTTAGAGGATCTCAAGAGAAGGTATTACTGAAGATTAGATATTCGTCTTTTAGCATTTTTCCATTCACGTGGTTTTAGCTCCAAAGAAACCTTCTTTTTACACTTGTTTTTGATGTTATAGGTGATATATTACATAGGATTATATCCATTTTTGGCTGTAAACACTGTATCGTCAGCACAGTCTTTCATTCGGAGATTTGCAGGGTAAGTTGTCTCACTAAATATTGATCTTCAGTAAATCACTAATAATTATGCCTTTCTTTTTGTGCTGTTACTTTATATTCTTCAGTGCTTCCGTCACCTGTGTTTCACCGTCACCTTCAATGTACTAGCCTTTTTTTTTTTTTTTTTTTTTTTTTTTCTGTCCTCCTTTCGGATGCAAAGATTTGTGATTAACACTGATGTTTTCTTATCAAACATTGTATCTATGTTAATATAATAAATCCTGAAGATCTAATTGCATTCATTAAATGAGAGTGTTTCTGCAGCTGAACTCTTTTCAGCAACATAATAGTACTGTTATTATTTCTAAAGAGATTGATACAAATTATGCCCCTGTTTGACCCCCATTAAATTTCATTACATTACATTCCATTCCATTTTTCTCTCTCTTATTTTCAACCACATAATCTTTCATAAAATAATATTACACGTAAAACGAAAAATTTTCTTTCTTTTTCAATCACTCATTTTTAAAAAAAAAATACTATTCCACCCATTTTCATTTCTTGAAAATGGGGGCCAAACGGGGGCTATATATTAAATATTCTCACTCATGTTCCCATTAAATTTCATTACATTACATTCCATTCCATTTTTCTCTCTCTTATTTTCAACCACATAATCTTTCATAAAATAATATTACACGTAAAACGAAAAATTTTCTTTCTTTTTCAATCACTCATTTTTCAAAAAAAAATACTATTCCACCCATTTTCATTTCTTGAAAATGGGGGCCAAACGGGGGCTATATATTAAATATTCTCACTCATGTTATGCTTTTAAGCGTTAATGAGATACATTACCTCTTAATATGCCTTTTATGTACAATGTCAATTATTTTCCCCAAAGGGAATAATCAAAACTTACAAAACAGAGCCATACCATGGAGTCAAATAGACTTAACTAATTTTGTGTGTTTAAATTCTAAAAAAGAATGTAAATTTTAATTTGTTAGGAAAATGGATCCAATACCTGATACACCAGGCTACTTGCAAGCATGCACGTAAAGATGAAGAAAAACATGCAAGTAAATGAACATTGTCTAATATGATTACGCATTTGAGATAAGCAGTAAATCAAAGGATTTTGGGTCTGGTTTGTTATACTTTTGGGATCGGAAATGGATTTTAGCTACAAACCGTTTGACGATAGAGTTTTTAGTCAGCATAATCTTAGAATGGTCTAGTATGATTTAGGTGCAAGAGAACTTTCAAGTTATATTTCAATGCATCTAACTATGATATGGTATATTTGACAAATGTTGTTAGTTTTATGTCCTCTGTCCCCAGACAACGTGGTGGTGATTGTGCTAACCTGCCTCCATGTTCCCTTTCTTCTCTTTTGGTTTTAAGTAATGACTTTGATTTTCTTTAAAAAATGAATGATGAGGTTATTGTTGTTCCGTTTTCTTTAATATATCATGTACCCTGTGGGTTCTCCACGCAAAATTAATAGCTTGATTGCTTTACATATTTATATATATGCAAGATATGCACTTTCTCTGTCAAAAGCAAAAGGTAACTGCTCCAGCTCACGGTTATTTGATGCTCTGTAAATTCTCTATATTTAATATATCTTCAGAATGATTGATTATGTAACTATACGAGGGCAAGTCTTTAATTCTGTGATGCCCCTGCTCTCAATTATTGTACACTCCTATGTCACAATTTCATAAACTTCAAAGTTTATAATTATCCAGAGAAATTGAATTTTTCAACTTTTTAGGGCAGGTCTCAGTTTCTATGTGCTGCACTTGGTTCTATTGGGGGCTTGTTGGGAAAGCTACCAACTCAGATTTCAGGATTTGTTGTGAAAAATTCTATAGGGAAATCATGGTCTTCTTCTGCAGTTGTATCTTTTTGTACAAGTGTACTTCAGGTATGGTGCTTTTGCTGATTAATGGGTTTTATAGTTCATGTTCAATTTTTTTAATCACGTTGTTTATAATTTTCTTTTTGATTTATTTGAGTTTACTCTATGCTCATAAGACTAAAGGAAAAGATGAAAGGTGGCCATATCATTTGAGTTCTGGAACACTTCGGAAATATTAGCTCAAATGGCCAAATGGGAAAGAAATGAGGAGATCAAGGATTGCCTGTTTGGTCATCCAACAATGACTCATGCTACTTAAAGAGCTCAGCTCTACATCCTTTTTAGTTTCATTAAATTTCTGCATTTTACATTGATTTATGGTGCACATAAAGTCAAATGTCCTTGGTCTCCATTGCAAGTACCACTCACACTAGGGTTGGTACTTCATAAAGGTTTAATTGATGCGTGATTTATTTTCTTAGTTTTGATCGCTTTTATCAAGCACATCACCTGTATATACATAACACACACTCATTTAGGAAGACCTATATGCTTCATTGCTACTTAAACTTGTATCATTTTGTGCATTTGTTAATGACTAGCCGTTCAACTCTTTTCTTTGAGGTTGTTTTCTTATTATATGAAGTCTTATCATATTATGTGCTTAACATGTGATTTGGATTATTTGTCTTGACTCTGTAACTTTCTCATTTTCAGTATCACACAATCCGGAATATGCTTTTTATGGCAATGACTGAATTCCAGAAGGTAAACTATTTCTCGTTTGATTTTGAACTCCAAAGTTAGGAAATTTGTTAAAATTGTAATGTCTAGCCCATGCATCTGATTGTTATATGGTGTGCGCTAGCAACTGTATCTACTAGAACTAGATGTCAAATTTGATACTTTTATTATCTGATATATTAGAGCACTGATAATTCCACTTAGTTAATCATGAATCCTGAATTTGGAATTGTATACAGCTTCCGATAGAAGTAATATATTCATTCTTCTAGTTTCTCAATAATATCTTCATCTTGGGTTTCTTAAAGTCTAACACATCCAGTTGTTTTCTGTACTTTTATCTGTAGAAAGATAATATATGAGGTGAACATGCTTAGCAATGCTAACTTATGGTTCAAAGGTCATTTAGAACCCTCTAAAAATTTTAAACAATTTTAATCAAGCAGACTGACTTTATTTATGGGAGTAATCTGTGGTTGACACACTTCAGTTCTAAATTCAAGATTCGATGTGAAAAATACTAATTTAAAGTTTTATTGATATTCGGATCTAATGGGTTTTGCTTCCTTTTTGACAACGATTTCGTTTCTTTTCCTGTTATTCTCTATATGTTTTACAATTGAATGGTCTTGAGATCTGCATGATGTTGGTCTATGAAAGTACAAGAAGAAATCAGAGTACTGGCCATGTTTACTTAGTTAACATTCTCTCGCAACCAAGTTTAAGACAAAGATTCTACTTCCCGAACAATCAAAATACTTACTGATAGGTTTATGGGGTAAAAGCTGCATGTTTAGCTGAACAGGGATTAAACTAAGTTTGCACGCTTTATTGAATGTGATTATTTTTCTCTCCCCAAGACATTTGTACATTTTTATTAACCACTGTCCTTTTATTTAGCTTTCAGAAAAACCGGATTGGGCTTTCATGGGAGAGAAAAAAGGCCAGATAGCATTTTTGTTTAGTGATGATGATCACTGGGGTCCATTGCATTTATATGAAGAGGTAATTATATGTTATTTTGTTATTTCTACAATTTGTTGCCATTCCTCAAAATTTTAAGACTATAATTTTTAGGAGGATTTCATTCTATATCGTGTTCATATTCTGAAATATAGGGACTTAAACGCTTTCAACTTTCTTTCTGTCTACCATTTTGTATGGTAACAGTGGCAGCTTCAATCGTTTTAAGCATTACTTTGATTTTCCTACACAAGGAAATTGTAAACAAAGGCGAAAAATATATACTTCTACAATTTACATTTCAACTAAGTTGAAATATTTCTCTCTCTTGGATGGATCTACTTCATAATCTTGATGTAGGTAGCCTAGCAGTTTTGCAGTTTTTCCACATAGGAGTACTCCAACTGCATAGGGTACAATACAACGTCGACCTCTTGTCAAAAAGAGGGTGTACGAAATTTGGAAGGATGTTTTGTTTCCCATTAAAAGCACCATTTCTCATACTTACTCTATCGCAAGGAAATATCAGGCTACTTTACAACATCTTGCCCCTCTTGGAATAAACATGCAACATTTATTTTCATCAGAAGAAAACTACTGCTACCTCTACTGTTCTGCCTGGGATTTATTTTCCTCTCAAACTATGGTTTATTGGACAAATGCAACTAGTTAGACATCAAGATGGTTGTCCCGAAGAAATGTATACCTACAAGTCTGGTTCCTCAGTATTCTATCTTATCAGCCTATACCTTCTGAAATGAGCAATAATTAACCCAAATCTGTCTGGATATTGCTGTCATGTATTTCTTAATGAGTTTCAAACAATTTATTTCCAAGATACTTGAGGAAATAAGTATTGGAATTTATTTATTTATTTATTTATTTTTTTTAACATCAAGGATAACAATAGAGTGCTTAAACATAGGACAAAACGAAGGTGCAAGTGACGTGACAGTTTAAAGTGCTGAAGATATTCGTGTTGCTAATCACATATGGATGGAATGGAAGGATGAACGGTGTTATGAAATACATTCTGCATAGCCAATACTATCACCATGAATATTTTCCCTTTCCATTTCTAAATGACAGAAGTATGCTGAAACATTATCCTTGTTTTTGAGTCTATTTGGTGTTTAGTTTTTATATTATTGAGCCTATCTTATTGTTCTTTACTGTTTTTTTTTTACCCCCCTCTCTTATATCATTTTTAGTACTTTGAACTGGAAATTACTGATAATATTTAAAGACGAAAAAAAAGCAAGAAATCTTGTAATTATAATGTCTAGTTCTATCGAGTAGTGCCTACCAAATATGCCTTCACTGTATTCACAATATGCTCTGATCTCATCTTTGTTCTATGTCCATGCTCACAGATTCGCAAGCAGATCCCTAATGCTCGTGTGGCAGTTGAACGTGAGGGTAATACTCATGCTTTCTCTTGCTCAGATGCTGGATCATTGTGGGTTGCTCAGCATGTGGCGAGCTTGATCAAGAATTGTATATCAAATTCAAATTTATGAAGGCTACAGAAATAGTCCAATGACATATGCACTAAGCAATACTGGGAGGATTATGAGAACTGGTTAGCAATTATTCTGAAGGACTGTGTTTCTCTTTATGGTATGTTTGGTAAATCGAACTAGACATCATCAGACAGTAGTAAACAAAGAAAAAAGCTCAAATTTTATCAATTGTATTATCTAGTCGTGTCTTGTATTGCATAGCATGACCTTAGTGTAGTTAGGATTTAAATTACTGTGCAGTTCTTTTTTCCAACTTAACTCTCTTGGTATCCTCCTTGGTGTTTGATTATTACAATAGGATTAATTCGAGTTCCCTAAAACGTTTAAGCATGATTCATTTTGCTCGGAATATGTCATTACCATAAGGAGAAAATGTTTACTCAATTCTTTCATTAATTTATGACAGTAGAAATTCCATCGAAACTAATTCGGGTTTCCTAGTTTTACCAATCAGATTATTTTTGTTCAGGGAAAAAATGGTACATGAGAAATGTCCCAAAAGGGAATCACTGAAATTGTTACACTATTTGATTCAATGTTGAGAAACTTAAGACCGTATTTGGTTCTTGGAGGGAAAGGGGAGACACGAAAAGGCGTACTTCTATTCTACATGGGAAGATGAAGACCATGCAAAAAAGTATGTTCCTAATGTACAGGATTCTTTCACATCTTTCAAGCTAGAATCTAACTTTTTTAGCACATCTGATCTAGTTGGTGTCTGAGTATATCAACTTGGGATCTCCAAAATTTTGTCGATAATAGAAAATACCAAACTTTGCTGGCCTTTTTACTCTTACACGAGTAATATTTTTTTTTACGTGTTTGATAAGTTGAGTTGAGCAAAATAACTAAAACAATATAGAATTATCCTATTTGTACATTGAAAATGTACAGCTTTGTGGGAAATACATCTAAATAGCCTAAATAAAAGGAAGGTTTTTGAAATTAGACTAAGAAATAAAAACATTTGAAAAATAACCTCCAAACAATCATCTTTCCAAAAATACCCCTTATAGAGAAATTGCAACCAAAGTCACTGCAATGTATAAAAACCTTCAAGTAGGTCCTCAAGAAAATATAGACCAAAAATCATTAATTAATTTAAACCCAAATATTATAGAATATTTTAGTGATCTAAGAAATGCAACAGAAAGTGAATTAAATTATTTAGAAGAAGAACTAAAAGGATTCTTTACAGTATATTTAGATCCAAAATTAAAAAATAAAAACGTTTCTATAGATAATAATACAATCAAAACAGAAAATGATATATATAAATTAATTCTTAATCTGAGAAGAAGAATTAAAGAACTAAAAAAAATCATTAAAGAAGAAGTATTAATAAAAAATAGTGAATTTTATAAATTTTATTGTGATATTTTAAATACTTATAAAGATTTTAATTGGCTTAAAAATATTAACCCCTCCGCTGCACACTCCGACGAAATGGTATTAGAGCCATGTTACGAACCAAAAATAATGATGAATATAGTAGATGAAGAAAATATAATTGAAGAATTTTTGAAAAAAGTTGAAAAACATAAAAAACTTAGTTATCCTTATTTGCCTAAAAACACCACAAATGAAAATTTTAGGGATATACATAAAAGATTAGAAAATCTAGAACATAATCTACAAATAGGAAACGCTCTTTTAGATAAAAGTCTTAAAGGAAAGGATAGAATTATAATAAATCCACCCCAAGATTTTAGGATAATACAAAAAGAAAATAATAAAGGGAAAAAACATGAAGAAAGACAATATATGATTACAGATGTAGAAGAAATAGAACAAAAATTCTTAGAATCTACAGGAGAAGAGTATGAAGAATATAAAAAACAGTTAGAAGAATTAACTGAAAAAATGGAAAATATAAAAATGAATACTAATCCATCTTCAAGTCAGAATATAAAAGTAGAATTTAGTAGTGATGAAGAACAAGATTATCCTTATGGTACTACAATACCACTTAAGGATGATATTAACCAATATAGGAAAACACAGAAAAGATATACTGGAAATGTAAGAAAACAATCCATAAAAGAAATAAATCCAATGAAATCCTATAATGAACCAATCTACACAACAGGAGTATGGTTAGATTTAGACTGTGTAGATAAAAATAAAGCTATTGAAACATGGATGAAAAGTACAGATTTAGCAATACAATTTAATAAATGGGAAACATATACAGCATTTGAATTTATAGAACATACATTCAGAGGAATTGTTTCTAAATGGTGGAGAAAATTACCAGAAATTATTAAAGGAAGGATAAAAATGGAACAAATAGAACTGAGGTATTAGATAATAGAAATACTCTAAATGAACAAAATATACAGGAGATATTAAAAATATTTGAAAAAATCTTAAGAACAGAATTCTTAGGAGATAGGTACACTTCTAATGAAGAAGAAAGAAAGCAGGATGAATATAATCAAGGAATGATAGCAATGGAAAATCTAAAGATATGTGATATGTGTAAATTAGAAAAATATACTTGTAAATTTGAAGAATTATATTATATACTTAATCAAGGAGATTTTCAAGAAAATAAACCTATATTAAGATCTTATTTCACAAAGTTACCATTCCCATGGGGAATTAAGCTGTTAAAAGAATATGAAAAATTACTACCTTTAGGAGAAGATGAATGAGTTAAAATAGATAGTCTTGGAAGTAGAATTGAATTTACAAGAAGAATGATAGGTATGTGGTGCAGAGAAGCACTAGAAAATAAGAAAGCTTATAAAATAAGAAAGAATTTATTATGTTATTATAAAGATAATGGCCAAATTGAACAATTTGGATGCCATAAAAAGAAATATAAACCATATAAAAAATACAAAAGAAAATTCAAAAATTATAAAAAATTCAATAAAAGGAATTTTAGACTATATAAAAAATATTTCAAGAAATGAAATTGGAATAAGAAATTTAAACCAAGAAACATTAAAAAATGTAAATGTTTTATTTGTAATGAAGAAGGACACATTGCCCCTCAATGTCCTAAAAAGAAAGATAGACAAAATATAAAAACTCTTAGGATTTATGAAAAATTTCAAGAAGATAGTGACATAGAACCAATTGAAAATTTTGAAGATTTAAGTAGTGAATGTAGTAGTATTTACGAATTAGATACATCTTCATCAGAAGAAGATTATGAGGAAATAGTATATATGAACCAGGAAATACGACAATCAGAAATAGAAATTGAAACAATTGAAGAAGTTGAAGATTCCATAGAAGGTATTAATCAAGAGATTACCTTTGATATTAAAAAATACGCAGGAATTACTAAAAAAATATTAGATCTACAAGAAAAAGATGTATTCCATCAAGGATTCTTAGAAATTTTACCAAGAGTGAATAAAAGAATTGTAAGTATGAATTATAAAGAAATGTCTATCAATATAGAAGATATTATAGGAAAAGCAAGAATTCCTATAATTACAAAAGAATGGGTAAAACAAAAATTATCCGAAATTCCAGAAAATATAAGAAATAAATTGAAATGTATTGAATTAGGAGGAGTCCAAATTATGGTAAAAGGATTTTTTAGAGAAGGTATGAATATACCAATAGAAATATACTGTATGGACAATAGAATCTTACAAGATCCTATAGATGCTCTATTAGGAACAATTGTAGGAAACTTAGTCTATCAAAAGACAATATTTACAGTAAAACCAAACCATGCAATATCATTAAATGATGAAAATATTGATCAAAGTTTCAATCTATACTATAGAATTGGAAACCTAAAAATGTTACGAAGAAGTAAGGCTATTAGTATAAGTATAAAATCAATTTTTGCTTTTAGTACTAGCCATCATAACAATTTAAGGAAAATAACTGATAACATTATCACACATAAAGATTTTGAGGAATTAGCACAATATATACCTCCTAGAAAATATCAAGAATATGAAGTAACGATACCAGAACAAATAATGCTTGATTTTCATAAACAAGCAAAAGAAATCAATTCTGAAGGAAAATTAATAAGAAAAAATAGTGTAAGCCTAGAAGGAGACAATCTTATTGCAAGATTCCCCTCTAGACAAGATTCTAGGATAAGTAGACTTAAGAATTTAAGTATTGCTGAACCATCAAGTTCACAATACTACATTAAGACAAGATACGTAAATCAAGAAGGATTTAAGAAAAATCTTCTTGTCCTTATAGACACCGGAGCAGATAAAAGTCATGTAAATGCCAAGTTTGTTAATCATTTAATATAATAGACTTTGAAATACCAGAACCATATATATTTAAGGATTATTTGGAAAATAATCTTGAAATAAGAAAATATGTTAAATTCCCTCTTATACTTGTAGGAGAGAACCAGAAAGAATATATTAAAGAAATAATTTTATACAAAGATGAGTTATATGGAGTAGATCGTTCACCTATTCTACTAGGAATGAACTTTCTTGAGAAATATAGTCCTTATAAAATTTGTCAAGGATATTTGAAAATAACAGTTGACGATAATCCAATTATCATTCCAAGAATAGATGAAAATATGAAATCATTGTTATCATGGAAAGAGTAATAAGTACTAATCCTATGAGCCCATATATTGAAATTATATTTAATATAAAAGGTTATTGTAGAATTAAATTTCATGCTTACTTAGATACAAGAAGTACAATAAGTTTATGCTTACCAAATGTACTACTATCTGAATACTAGAAATATAATTCAAAGAAGATAGTCACTGCTACAACAGCAGGAGGAAACAAGGTAATATATAGCAAGTATGCTACGCAAGTACCTTTTCTAATCTCCTTTAGAGAAGTATTTGTTGATACAATATATATGTAAACCACAATAGGATGCGATATTTTATTAGGACAAAATTTCCTATTAAAATATGCACCATTCATACAATATATTGATAAGTATATGTTCACAACACCTTGTGCACATAAAATATTTACATCAAAAATAAATAAAGCTGTTACAATTGCATATAGAGATATAAACCATCAGAGTTCCTCAACCCAGCGTGGTGGATGTTGGAGTACAGAAAAATTTAAACCAGTTACAGTCTTAAAAATGACAACAGAAAATAGGTTGGAAAAATTGAAAAAAGAAATTTCTGAAACATATTCTGAAAATCCATTAGAAAAATGGAATACAGACAAAGTAAAAGCAAAGATAGAATTAATTAATCCAGACACTATAGTAAGAGTCAAACCTATGAAATATAGTGTTGATGATCAAAAAGAACTTAAAAACCAGATAAAAGAATTGCTAGAAGCTAGACTGATTAGGCCTAGTAAAAGCCCACATAGCAACCCAACATTTATGGTTAGAAAACA